CTCTAGGGCAGTGGTTAGGAACTTATGGCATGGACCCAGCAGCAGACTGTGATCACTGAAAGCTCTGAATGGTTCACCACCACTGGGTGTAGATGGGCTTGGGTGCGTCCCAAGCTTCATGTCCAAAGATTATCTTTGAACTAATCTTTCAGAGGCTCTTCCACTTGTGCATTCTGAATCCTTCCTTGGCCTTTCATTCCCACTTGCTTATTGTTGCAGTATTTCCTTACTGCTAAACACTTTAAGGGAAGTGATGAGATAAATTTGGAAGTTTTTTCTTGAACTGTACATGCTGCTTAATATGCTGGGGGAAACATTTTGGCTCTGCTTAGTTTGATAATGAGAGTTACATCATGAGACCTATAGATTTCTTGGGCATACAAAATGATTGCATATTCATGAACATCTTCAATCCTGAAATATTTGTAAATAACTTGGCAATTGTTTTTCATAACGTTGCCTGTTAAAATTATTAGGACTCTACTTGTTCGCCCAGAGAGAATCTGCACATACAGAGTATCATCTATGTGATAAGTAGTATTTCTATAGTAAGCAACTTGGATTATGCACATAGAGATCATCTTCCTTAAACTGTAAGAGATGCTGTTTTCCACCTAAGAATATTTCAAGTTTGAAAATGTCAATAGATGCAAAGAGCCAACCTAGAGCTATGCTCTCTAGAAAGACAGTAGAGGAGGAATGACATAGTCAGGGGTAACTGTCACCAGATGAAGAGAAGTCAGACTGTGAGGCCTGGATCTATAAAATTCTTGCCAAAGTAGGACCTCATTTACACATACAGATCTTCATACCCTTTGCTAAGAAAAGCATCTGTGGCAGTTTAGATATTTGTGCGTTTGCCAAAGATCTTTCACTCTGAATAAAGTAAATGTCATGTCTGTTGTTTATGTCAAATTCAGCGGAGTATGTTAAAAAGGAAATACTTGCATGGAAGGTTAAGGGCGAGGGAGGCAAGGTTTGGGCGCTCCAGTGAGGTGGGAATGGCTGTTCTGCTGAAGTGCTCCAGGATCAGACTGGGCTCCGTCAATAAGCCTCCAAAAAAATTTAGGATCTTGAGGTGGAAATGGCCTTTTGAAGTGACCCATTACAATAAATTAATCTATACCTAATCTGTGAACATCAAAAAAAAAAAAGAAAATCCCAGTTAATTCAGTCAAACTGATTATTTGGCATCATGTAGACAAAGCTGTCTTTCAGAGGAATTCTTGAAGTAAAATCTGAATTCTTCAAGATAGATGGCACTGTAGCCAGAGCCAGCTAGTACAAGCACATCTGTGTACAAATGAATGTGGGGACTTAAAAGATAGAAAGTAGAATTTGATAGCTCCAAGTTTAAGCTGGACGCCACTTAAGACCAATTTAAAGAAAAAACTTTTGTGACAACATGCATGGAGAGGAGGTGCCACTGGTAAATTCTGACTTTGTGTTAAGTGAATAATGTAGTAATTTAATTGTGTAACTTGCCATGAGTACACAAAGTAAACTCTCTATGGACCTTTTAAAAAAAACCTAATATTTAATGTGACTCATAGGCATTGAAAGTCGTAATGAGATCCTAATGTAAAATAAATCCTTAGAGCCTTTTTCAGACATCTCTTTCAGTTGACAGGATTATATTACTCTTTGCAAAAATCAAATACTTGTCTTGAGTGAGTATGACAGGGTTTATTGGTATCATTTGCTTTTTGGAAGTATTCTGTGTGACTCTGAATATTGTTTTTTTTATTCCCTCAGATGACATGGAAGCCATTCCTGTCAAACAGTTTGTTAAACACATTGGTGAGCTATATTCCAATAATCAGCATGGGTTCTCCGAGGATTTTGAGGTATGTTTCAAGACTAGAAATTAAATTCCAGAAACAAATTTTACTTTAAAGGGAGTTTTATAAACTCAAACCACATTTACTCTGAGTATAACAAAATAATTTTGAAAATTAGAGATTGTTTTTCTTTGCTTTTATAAGCATTTTTCTGAATAAAATAAAGTGAAAGAGTTGCTTGAATTTGTTGCAAAAGTGTGTTTCTATTAAA